TGGGAGAGGCGCTTAGTGGTGAAGGAGAGACAGTGGATGTGGGAAGGGGCTGTCTGGTGGGCTTGCCTTCCCCCGGCACATATTTCCTCACTGGTAGGGAAAGCCGTGCTTGGGCCAGCTTTTGGGTCCGTTCTCCACAGGGCCGGTACCTGCTCAGGGAGGATCAGAAGGGGCATCGTCCCTGTAACTAGGCAATTGCTGTTACTGTTGCCACATTTATTGTTTTTTTTTTTTTTCTAGGAAATTTACCAAGTTTTGGCCCAGGGGTTTACATTTCCCACCCCCCTAGCACAAGCTTTCACTATTCAGACTACAAATGGAAGGCACTGAGGCTGTAATTACAGCGGCATTAGCTCAGGAACACGCTGAGAGGAGCAGGAACAGGGCACCTGGGGAACCTAAAAGCAGCCGCGGGCCTAAATTAGCTGCTGCTCCGCGTGCGTTGTCGCCCTGCTCTTCTTTGGGGGCCCCCTCCATCCTCACTCTCTGCTCTCCTCCACCTCTGCCCCAGGCTGCTTTGCTTGCTCTTCCCCTCTGCCCGCCAGCATCCTGACAGGTGCAAGAAACACAGAAGAACAACCTGGCTGGTGTAGAGGTGGTGCCCCCAGAATAGCCTTTGTGTGGACGTGTGTCCTTGGATCTCGATGTGGGCAGGCTGGTTTGGCTGCAGCTTAGGGGACAGCTTGGGAGGCCGCACCCCACCGGGGACAAGCCCTCGCTGTGCTCTCCTGGGCCTCACTTTCGGTCTCTGTGTCCAGGCATCCTGAATTGCTGTCAGGTCCTCCCAGCTTTTGCCCCAGCTCTTTGTTCCCTTGGCCTGGGACCCCGTTCCTACTCTTTTTGCTTCCTCTGACTCATCCTGTAGGTTCAGCCGAGATGTCACTGCTTCTGTGACCCCTGGTCTGGGCAGGATGCTTTCCTCTCTGCTGCTACAGCACCCTGACTTCCCTGATGCACAGCTTAGCACTGCCATGGGCCACTCCCCTGTCTTCAGCTGGGTCTCTGGGGAAGTGCTTGCACCTAGTAGGCCTTTAGTAAAGAGTTGAAAACCAACCTTGATTCCTTTTTGGCTTTAATCCCCCTTTTGCTTTCACAACAAGAAGAGAGGGAACTTTTTCTGCCATTCTAGGGCTGTTGTTGGCAGGGTGTCGAGGTGAGGCCCAGTCTTCATCCATTGTCTCCTGACTTTCACATCTGAGTCCTTCTGGACTGGGCCTTTACATTGATACTTGATTAGACATGGCCTTGTATTGACCACCATTGCGGGCTCCACATCAGTTTGGCTTCTTTAATAGTATTAGCCAACAACTTCTAAGTACTTGTTACATATTAGATATTGTTCTAAGTACATTTATTCTTTCACTCGTCAAATTTGCATTCAACACCTACCATGTACCAGGCATTGGAAAGTATGGATATGGCAGTAAGTACAACCAATAAAGCCCCTGCTTTCAAATGGAGTTTATATGTAACACAAACAAACAAATGACTAAGGAAGTGTATACTCTGGCAGATGGTGATGAGTTGTGGGAAAAAGAGATCAGAGAAAGGGTAAAGGGAGTGACTTGTTACGTATATGGTCGGAAAGGATTCACAGATAAGGTAACATTTGAGCAGAGACCTGAAAGAAGTGAGGAAAGGTCATGGAGGAGAGCTTTCCAGGAAGCGGAAGCAGAAAGTGCGAAGGCCCTGAGGTCAGGGCACATTCCAGGAAAAGCAAGGAGGCCAGTGTGGCTGGAATGGAGGAAGTGACCAGGAGGAGGAGGTGAGGTCACATAGAGCAGTGCTGGCTAACAGAAATATGAGTCATCTATATAATTCTAAGTGTTCTAATAGCCACATTAAAAAAGTAAAAAGAAGCAAGTAAAATTAATTTTAACCATACATTTGCTTAATATATTTTCAGAATATTATTGATTCAATATATAGTCAAACTAAAAAATTGTTAATGAAATGCTTTATTATTTTTTTTTCATAGTGAATCTTCAAAATCTGGAGTGTATTTTCAAAATCTGGTGTGGACATCTCATTTTGGGCTTAGCCACGTTTCAGGTTCAATGGCCACATGTGGCTAGTGGCTACCATATTGGACAGCACAGATATAGGGCCTTGAAGACCAGGCCCAAGCCTCTGAATGAGGGGAAGCCATAGGAAGCTTTGAGGCCTAGGAGCATTATCTCTCTGCCTTATGTTCTAGAAGGTTCACTCCAGCTGCGATGAGAGGATTGTTTTGAGGCAGGGGGTGGGGTGGGTGCGAGGATAGAGCAGGGAGCCTAGGAAGGAGGCTCTTGCCAGGATGTGGTGATGATGGCTTGGACCACACTGGGAGCAGCGGTGGCGGTGAGAAGTGGTTGGATCCCGGATGTATTCTGGAGGTGGAACTGGTTGGTTTTTCTGACGTGGTGTGTGAATGAGAGAGGAGTCAAGGGAGTACCTAGAATTTTAGCCTGAGCTAGTGGGAGGGTGAGTTGTTTTCATACAGATGAGGGGAACTGGGGTGGAGGAGCAGCATTGGGGGGAATGTGTGGGTTTGGTTTGGGGCCTGTTAAGGTTGAGATGCAGTGTCAGCCTTTCAGGTAGAGTGGGCAAGTAAACAGGCAGCTGGACGTGTGAATCTTGTACTCACGGGGAGGCTTGGCTGGGGACAAGCCATGAGTGCCCTGGGAAGTGGGTGTACATAGAGAAGAGGGGCTGAGCCCTGGAGGAAAAGGTGGATAGTTGTGAAGGTGCATGCAGGGTGGTAGCAGGAAGCCCAGTGGAGAGGGCAAGACTGTGAGGAAAGAGGGCCAGATGGGGTAACCTGCTGTGTCTAGTGTCCAGATGGGCTGAGGGGGAGGAAGCCCCAGGATCCCTGACCACTGGCAAGAGGGGGAAGCAGACGCTAGGCTGCAGTGGGTCCAGGTGAGACCAGAAGGGGAGAAAGAGATCGCTGGTATGGATGACTCCTTTGAGAGCTTTTGCTCTAAAGGAGAGCAGAAAAATAGGATTACCTTAATGGTGGCTATATGGTCACAAGGAGGCTTTTTTCCCTTAAAGATGGGTGAGATAGTAGCTGATGGGGATGATCTAGTAGACAGAGCAAAATTATCATGCAGGAGAGAGGAAAAAATGAGCTATCTCATTCACACTTACAACCGTGCTATGTGGTAGGTACTATTTTGCAGATGGGGAAACTGAGGCAAAGGAAGATTCAGTCATTTGTCCAAAGCTGTACAGCTAGTAAGTAGCAGGGCCAGGAGTTGAATACAGATGGCTCAGTTCTATAACACCCAGTCTTAACTGCTATGCTACTGCTTCTTGGTTTCCTAGCTAGATTTGTGAGCTCTTTGAGAATGGGGACTCCTCTTACACATTTCTATCTGACACAGCACCTAGCCAAGAGAGGGCTGTGCAGAGGTGGGGTTTGCTAGATCTTTAATGACCAAGAGACCTGAACACCAGGAATGGTGCTGGGAATGCTCGGACACCTGGGCTGGCCACGGGAGGCGGGGTGTGGGGCATGGTGTTAGCTTGCCTCAGTTTGTGTCCTTCCCACCACCTCCCGGGACATTGCATGAAGTGGATGGTGCTCAGGAAATACTGGCTAGATGAAGAATGAGTGAAAAGGCTAAGGCTCATCCATCCTAAAACCTAAGCTGATGATTCTTCTGGTGTACACAGTGTTGGCATGACCTGTTTCCTGCTCTGGTTTACCACCAGTGTGCTGGGTGGCCTTGCCCACTCACTGCGTCAGTTTCCTTAGCTGTAAAATCAAGAGGTAGGGCTAGGTGGCCTCCCATCTGGCTCTCCCCAGAATGTCTCAGGTGGGCATGTATGGGCTGGATTCCTGCCTCCTTCCAGTCTGTCATCAGGATGGACAAGAGGCACTGTGGGTGGGGTCAGCTGGCAGTGGAGGGTCAGGTGGTCCTTAGAAGAGCCGAGACTTGTGGGATGGGGTAGCCAGCACAAAGGGAACTTTACAGATTGTGGGAATCCTGCTTCGTGTCCAAGACATCTCACTCCAATGCAGAGCTCAAAGCCATGGTGCTAAAGGCCGAGTCCCAACATCTAGCACATGCGCCCTTTAGTTGGTTATGCGCTTAGCCCCATTAGAGTCTGAGGCTGGACTTCAGCCTCTTACCTCTACTTCCGGGGCTCCCACCTGGAGCTTCCTTTTTAGGGGTTCTCCATGTAACTAGCTGCTGTAGCACCCCTGCCATGTGGCATTTTGAAATGTGTAGGGACAGTTTTCAGTGGTCCTGTGGTGGGGGTGAGGGTGGTGGTAGTGGTGGCTGCTGAAGATCCCATGATGAGAATTGTCCCTCCCTAAATGCCAGCAGTACCCAGAGCAGAAGCCTGTTCAAGTGTGCCATTGCAGGGTGCTCAGGAACCTGGGAGCCCATCTTGCCTCAACTGCCACTCAGTTGTGTGATCGTGAACCAGTCATTTTATTTCCCATTATCCACTTTTGTGAACAGGGCATGAACACCTACTTAGTTGCTTGCCTTTAAAAAAAAAAATGTTTATTTTTTTTATTTTGAGAGAGAGAGAGAGAGAGAGAGAGAGAGCAGGCACACCCGAGTCGGGGAGGGACAGAGAGAGAGAGGAAGAGAGAGAATCCCAAGCAGGCTCCACTGTGTCAGCAAAGAGCTGGGTGGCTATCTCACAAACCGTGACATCATGACCTGTGCTGGAATCAAGAGTCAGACACTTAACCCACTGAGCAACCCACTCCCCACTAGTTGCTTGCCTTTTGGGTTGTGGTAAGTTTTAAATGAGCCTGGATTAACATTCCTCATCATCTTGACTCGCCACAGGTAAGGCTGGCTGTGCACCAGGTGCTGTCCTAAGCTGTGTATTCCCCCATTTTAATCCTTACTGCCTGTTGGGTGACCCGTTTCACGGAGGAGGAAACTGAGGTAGAGGGCATCTTGAACCCTGGGAGGTGTGCCCAGTGGGCCTGTGGCGGTGGTCTTCCCGTGCCCCTGCAGGCCCGTGACCTCCCTTTCCTTCACCCCCAGGGACAGGGGCAGACCCGGTGGCCAGTGCCAAGAGCAACCACTGCCTGGATGCCGCCAAGGCCTGCAACCTGAACGACAACTGCAAGAAGCTGCGCTCCTCCTACATCTCCATCTGCAACCGCGAGATCTCTCCCGCGGAGCGCTGCAACCGCCGCAAGTGCCACAAGGCCCTGCGCCAGTTCTTCGACCGCGTGCCGGGCGAGTACACCTACCGCATGCTCTTCTGCTCCTGCCGAGACCGGGCATGCGCCGAGCGCCGCCGGCAGACCATCCTGCCCAGCTGCTCCTACGAGGACAAGGAGAAGCCCAACTGCCTGGATCTCCGCGGCGTGTGCCGCACCGACCACCTGTGCCGGTATGCCCGCCCGCAGCCCCCACTCCGCGCTCCCGGGCCCCGGCGTGCGCGCGCAGACACCTGCCGTCCGCTTGCTCGTTCTGACCCGCGTTTACGGTTTGTCTGCCTTCTCTGTGTTCACTCGTGCTTAGCACTGTGGGAATCCACAGTGAACAACCCAGCGAGCATAGAATTCATAGACCCTAGAGCCTGCTGGGCTGAGAAGGGACCTTCAGTGAATTCGGCCCCACTCCTGAAGGAAACCGCCACCTCATGTCCCATTGAGGTCATGTGGCGGGCAGGATGGGGCCCTCCTAAATCGCAGAGGCAGCTCCTTACACACGGACAGCAGAGCCATTCTGGTGCTGGGGCAGGGTGTGGGTTCGAGTCTGACTGCCCAGGTTTGACTTTTCTACTTACTAGCTGTGTGACTCGGAGCAAGTTGTAAAAATTTCCCGAGTCGCTGCCATTCCTTCACCTGTAAACAGGAGTAAAAATGTCCACATTTGGTTATTGTGAGGATTAGGTGACATGATGTGTGTCGGAAGCTTAGCACAGAGCCTGGCGTATACTCCATTTTGATAAGCATAGCCTGATTATTAGCAAGGTTTTTTTCGGTTGTCATTACCGTGAGTTGAAATTTGCTTCTGTATAGTTCTTATGTCTTCCCTGTTTGTTGTTAAGCATTTGTTGAGTCCCTGTTGCATCCAGCGCTCAGTTCTAAGACCTGGGTGTGCAGAGGTGAACATTGTGCTCTCTGAGGAGCAGCCTGTCCAGAAGGGGACACAGACAAAGCAGTGCAGTGCAGTGCAGTGCAATCCCAGTGCAGTGGCTCTCAGATGAGGCAGCATGGGGTAGGGACATCTGCTTTAGTCTGGGGCTCTAGAGGAGGGGGCCTTGAGCTAAACCTTGAAAAATGAGAAGGTGAAAGCCAGGGAATGTGTCAGCTGGAAAAGCATATGCAAAAGGCTGGAGGGTAGGAGAGAACCTGGCCTCATGGGGAACTGCAGATGGTGGGTGCACATGGAGTGTGGGTTGTGAGGTGGGGAGGCCACAGGTGGGGCTGCTGCAGAAATAGAGGCCATGGTGGCGCAGAGATATTCAGAGATTGCTTACTGTGTCCTGGATGCTGGTTTATTATATGGTTTGTCTAATTTAATTCTCACAACAAAACTACCGGGTAGATAACTATTATCGTCTTTATCTGTCAAAAGAGGAAATAGAGACATAGAAGGTAGCTTGCCTAAAGTCACACAGCTCATACATTTCAGAGCTGGGATCCATCCATCCACACTGCTTTTTCCAGTGTAGCATCCTGGCCTGGACTCAGATAGTGGCTGTAGGGATGAACAGAAGTGTATCATTTCAGATATGATTGGTAAGTAGACTTGACAGGACTGGGTGATTGGTTGAAAGTTCCCTGGAGGCAGAAGTCATTTCTGTTTTGTTTACTCCAAACCTCATCCTACACGTAAAGCCTGGCACATGGTGAGCACTCCACAGATGTTTCTTGAATGGATTAAATGAACGGTGACCACTATGTTTCCTAGTTAAGTAATTATGGGATGAAGGAGCCATTCAGTGTGGGGGGGGGGGTTTGGGGGTGTGTAGCATTTGAGGTGCCTGGAGGACCATTGCCATGCCCCAGGCAATGTCTGGGGCATGCTCAGTAAAGAGGCTGGAGTGGAGAAGTGGGTTTGGGAGTTGCTGGGCACCTCATTGGTGATTAAAGCCCCAGCAGTGAGTGAAATGGTGCAGGGTGGATTGGTGGAGCCCAAGAGGGAGTCTAGGCTGGAGAGGCCTACAGATTTGGGCATCCTCAGTGTTTAGGTGATGAGAGAAGCCTTTGGTGTGGATAGTGAGGCAGAACTCTTCTGGAAATACCATTTGTTCAGGGAGGGGCAAAGGAAGTGGGGCTTGTGGCAGGGAGGCTTGGAGGGTGGAAGGATAGCCAGGAGGAAGTGGGCCAGAATCCAGGAGAGAGGGGTTCCTGAGGGAGGGGGTGACTGAGACATGGTGCCTCATGGTGTGTACATGTGTGTACAAGAGAGTGTGTGAGTGTGCCTGTGAGGAAGTGTGAGAGTGTGTTCATGGGGGGGGGGGCGTATGGATGTGTGTGAGTTTGAGAGTGCATGAGTGTGAGAGGGAGTGTGTGAATCTGTGTGAGTGAGTGAGTGACGGGTGGAAACCAGCTGTAGTTGGTTCAGGCATGGCAGGAGGCAGAAGTGGAGGCAAACCCTCATGTTGAGGACATGCACGCACAGGAGAGAGAGAGACACACACACACACCCCGTGATAGAGGCTGCAGGGGGAAGAGAGGCCTCTTTCTACCATGGGAGTGCCGGTGGGGTGGGGAGCGTGTTTGATGAAGGGGAAGTGCTGTTTTGGTTTGGAAAACAAGCACTGCCTGAGTTCAGAGACAGGCCTGATCCCAAGAGCTCCCTGCAGGGCTTGGGAAAGCTGTGAAGATGGTAGGCTTTTCTCTTTTGCTTACTTAAAAAAAATAGGCCTTGTCACTTACAGACACTGATTGAGGTGATTTAAAACAAACCACACATACAACAAGAGGATGGTTAGAGGCAGAAACCCAGGGCCCTGCAAAGGAAGTCGGGAGCCAGTGCCTCAGGTGTGCGATCTAGCAGTCACTGAGCTGGAGCTCTGTGCCTCGTGGTGGCTGGGATAAAGTGGGACCATGATGGCCCACACGAGTTCCAGAGCACACTGGAAGGGAGCATGGTAGTTCTTGAATGGACATAACATCCTCTCCTTCTTCTAAGTGCTGACATGACCCACCAGGCTGTTACACATAGTGTATGTGGAATGACAGATGGATTAGGAGCTGGGCCTGGGAGGGAACTGGAGGGCCAACCTGAGTCCAAGTCCAGTGACGACAGGCTGGAACATGCAGGAGCCTGTGCGCACCTGTGGGCCAGGTGCACCAAGGCCAGCGGACGAGCCGGCCTCAGCCGTCTCCATGAGGAGCGGTAGCAGACAAGCCACAAGAGCACCAGCATCCCCTTCATGAGTCCTGTGTTAAGGGAGGACAGTGTGTGTGGTTCCTCAGTGTGGGGGTGGGGGAGGTCCATGGTCCTGAGTGAGAGGGGGGGAGTTGAGAGCAGGATAATTTCAGGCTTCTAGAACATCTGTGTCTGTTTAAAGAGCCGGAGGGTTTTTTTTGTTTCTTATTCTAGGGGTGGGGGAAGCCAGAAACGGGAGATGGGGATTAAGCCTCATATTGTAGAACCAGAAGGGGTGTTTCAATGAGATTAAGGGTTGAGAGAGTCTGGAATGAGGCGTCCGGAGCTAAGGGCTGACAGCCTCTGAGAGGCACTAAGCCAACTGGAGGAGACTCCATGCAACAGGACATAAATTTAGACAGCGATCGCAGGACCCTCCAACAGTGCAGTCTCTAGATGTTTGAATTCGGTCAAGTGTTGAAGTTCTAGGTGCTCCAGGATGAGGTGACAGGGTGAGCTCTCGGTCTAGAACCGGGCATTCCTCTAACCCTCCCTGCCCAGTTCCCATTCCTGAACAGATTTAAAGTGTGGTCCTGAAAGTGGTAGGACAGGGCTGAAGGAGGATCTGCATCCAGGATGGGGCTGGCAGGGCCTGGGGGTTATAAAAGCCTGGCCAGGTGTTCTCTGGGGAGCTTTGCCTATGACTCAGAGCTGAGGCTTGAGGTACACTGGGGTGAAACAGATTGATAGGTGGTGGGTGGAAGTGGTCACCGTGGTCACCCTAGAGCTGGCAGACCTGCCCCTGGTCTCCTGAGTGGTCCCGGGTGGGCCATTTCACTCCTCATGCCCTTGGTTTCTTCACTGATCACATAGGGATGCTCACCAGTCTGCAAGGACCCTTCCCAGGTCTGTGAGTCTGGGTTTGGGGACAGCTTTCTCCTCCTGCACCTCCACTTGAGGTATATTTCTGGGAAGATGAGCTCTTGGGACAAGAGAATACAACAGAGACCCCTTGTTGGGGTAGAAGGCATGGGAGGGCAGATTTGAAGGACCTAGGGACAGGCCTGGAAGGGGAGGAGTTGATGTTTTTCCATGTTCTTGCAAGCCTGACTTACGGACCCATGGACCCTTTCCCCATGTCACGGAGGAGCCCAGGAGGTGATGGGTGGCTGGAGGGGGGCATGAAGAGAAGAGGTAGCCCAGACTTTGTTCTCCATATGCCTAGGGAGAAGCACCCTCCCTTTCTTGCCTAGCATTGGATCCTTCCAGGTTTCTGCCCTCCAAGATAGGCACCACAGGTGGAAATCTTTACTGTGAAATGGGTGAGCTCAGTGCCGTGACGTTTAGACCAGGAAACGGAGACCCCAAACCTTCCTTTCCTGGTCACTTTAATGGACAAAACTGGCTTTGATGAGGATCATGGGAAAGCTTCTTTGGGCTGACTCTTGGAGAATGAGGCTCTTGCTGGCAGGCATCTCTTGGGACATGCCTGGTGCTCCAGTGCTATAGCACCCAGTCCTCACTTTGCCAAGCCTGCCTGGCCCCCTTCGCTTTCCTGCTGGGGGAGTTGGGGCCTGGCTATGCTTCTCTCCGAGTGAATCTTGGCCCAGGATTCCTTGGGGACAGCTCTGCCAGAGCCCACCTCAACTGGCACTGCATTAAAGCAAGTCTGTTGATCTGCTTTGTGGCATACCCAGGGGCAGGCCTTGTACATCCCCAGTGTGATATTTAACAGACTCCACTGTGCTGTCTTATGAAATGTCACTAAACACAAGGTGTTGGGGTTTGAAGAAGCCTTTGGTTAAACAAGGACATCTCTGGGCTGGGGCCAGGGTTTATGGGAAGCACTTCTGAATCCTCCCCTGACTCTTTGGACCAGGATCAGCGTGGAAGCTTCCTGCTCCCTGGCTCCAACTGGCCCTGAATTTGAATGCTCTGTCTCTGGCTTTTGTCTGGTTTGTATCCCATGAGCCTTTAGAGCTGTAAACTTAAGTCCAGGAGAGGCTTTTCCTTTAAAAGTCTTCTGATACAGAGTCTGGAAAGCCCAGAGAATCTCTTGGAATG